TTATACTACTAAAAATCGAATTTACAAAATTGAAATTCTTCGGATAAGATTTTTATTATTAGTCGAAATTGTATATTGTTCGAAAATTACGCCTTTCGAACGATATCGTTAGATCGATGAGATTAATTTTTCTATGTGTTCGGTATTGCATAAATTTTTATGTTACGTTTATATTTCTTTGCGTTTATATTATTATATCGTTCGATAATTAAGCAAATTTTTAGCTAAATAACGCGAAATATACAATATACAAGTTTGGAAACTATATTCTTCTAGTTTAGAAAAAGTTTATATCGTAATCGCAGCAGAGTTTCTCTCAACGTTAAACTTGGAAATAATTTGCCACACATTGTAGCCAAGTTGCCACGCGCGCCAACGATTTAAATTTATTAACGAGCACCGCAAAATGGGTTCGTTGAACGATACGAGAAACATTTGGATGGCTGATCCTCTAGACTGTTTCAACCTAAGCCGTTCTAATTTTGTTGACGGTTATCAGGACCGAGAAAATTTCCTATATCGTCGAGTGATTTAATATGACTAAAAGAATATGATACTGTATGACAGTGAAATATCAAATCTGAGGCAAAGACGTTTCATTAAGAAATACTTTTGATAGTTCGGTTACTAAAACATTTTTACCAAAACGCTATAATACACTTTCGAGAATCATCGAACATGATAAGATGGTTGAAAACGCAAGAAACTTGCCGATCGACTGAACAAACTCTAAATTTCTATCGACAAACGCTTGAGAATAAGCGTAAATTAGTTGCCGAATGGCCGTCGATTTTTTGGAATTAGTTCTGGATACAGATTTTCTCTAATTTAAAGTTGATAGTGTACTGTCATCGTAAAAAGTAAGTATCGCTTCTTATTTTCTATTTGCCTAATACAATCTTCCATTTATTTGCATACTTTGGTAAATATTCACATATTGTTGCTATAGATAAACGAAACTATTCGGATTCTTATGACAGTTGCTGTACATCTGAGAAATGTTTTTTCTCCGAAGTTGCCACGATAATAGAAATTTGCAGAATTTTATGGAAAGACAAAGATACTTTATTCCTATAAATTTCGGTACATCTGGTTTAATAACGTTTGTGGCTATTTTGCGGCGAATCTGTTATATTAGAATGCTGCTACGTTAATTTTTAACTGTTCGATTATTTGTATTCTAAATTTGTAGCAAAATATTTATCAGAAGTAGTTTCGGTCCGCTCAAATGGCTCTCAGAATAGCTCTTTCAGTTTTCTTAATGAAAGAACGCTCGATGCATTCTCGTATTCTTCTTACGTTTCAATTTTTAATGAATTTTTCCGAAACCAACAGTATTTGACTTATCGGTTGATATTCGTTAATGACGTAATTAATTATCAAGAATTGCGCCGATTATTATTTCTAACGATACATTTAAAATAGCTTTTTCATTTATATTAATAGAGCGAACTCCGGCGAGTCTGTTCTTTTTTTCTTGTTTTGATTATTTTGAAAAATATTCAATTTCTTTAGAGATTCCCTTTAAAGGGGATATTGAATATTTTAATATTATCGTCTCTTTTTAAAAAGACTCTCTGCATGCTGATTCACAAAAATGTCAACCCTTACTTACTTATTTACTCTGTAACATTTGAAAACATTTTGAAATATCGTCAACGTTATAGCGAAACGTTGGTATCACGCTGACCCGTTGGTATCAAGTTGATAAGGTTTGAACCAAAACCGGAAATGTGCATAAAAGCGAGAAGATACTTCTCGCAAACGTACACTTGGCGGAAAATATACAAAAATATCCAAGCAGTCGACGAGTTATATTAATAACTTTCAATATTCATTGAAAGCGCCATTAGAATTGTATTATATGAATTATATGTTTGAAACTATAATACTACCAATACTGTATAATAATTTGTTACGAACTGTATGTTTAATGATGTGCGATATGTGCAAAGATACCCTGTTACTTCTGTACATACATATACATATACATTGTTAGATAAGTCTTTCAAGTTTCCAATTTTTGCTTTTCACTAATACGTATCATTGTATTGGTTTTCTGGAAAAATAAATAGCTAGATTAATTACAACGCCTATACTAGTTCAATTACTGCAGTGGCCTTTTAATTATTAATGAAATTTTTAAAAAGTTGAAGATTTCTTATCGAATCTTTAATAAGTTGTTTGTTTACAGATTAATTGTAATGGAGTTTGTATTCTGATGTTATACTATTTAGCGAGATATTACTGTTTACTGAGATATTGCGACAGGGCAATGCATATCCAGCTTTAGTATTATTCCTATTTTTGAGAATAATTGCTGATTACATGTTTTCTGACCATTTTTTGCCATGGAAAGATCCCAAGCCCTAAAATACACAGAGTATTTTCGATTTGGTGATACAATCCGATGGATACAATCATGGTAGATGAATTCGTATGAAAAGATAGATAACACTTGTTACAGTGTATTATTATGATACTTGTCCTATGAATTCGCTACGAAATGTAAAGTAATACTTTCTCTGCTACCATATATATTTAACTTTATTTGCGAACATTTCATACTGTAAATTAGTTTTCATTGCACACATATTTATACACGGTTGCAAGATCTTCTCTGCTAGATCGGTCGTTACGATAAAATAGCTTAGCTACCATTTCTAAACATATCACTGATGGATTCTTATTTATGGAGTCACGTCAAGTCTCGTGTGAAACACGGGAGGGAGGGCGCAAAAATAGGGAACACCTCAAAGAGAAAATCCTTTCTGTATTGGTACATTGCGAAAGGAGGAAATACTCTGGAATACCTTTATAGGAGCGTAATACGTATACGCAAGGTAATTATATTTATAAAAGAACAGGATTCGCAGCAATTTTTGCGTAATCTTAAATAACAAAAGAAATTCTTTCGAGCAAAGATACTCTTACTTCATTGAGATTGATTCGAGCGCCGTGCGTGCACCAGCGGTAAGAAGTAGGCGAGAAGTAGAAGTAGGTGCGTGTGAGACAGAATAGGCAGAGTAAAATAAAATAAAATAAAACATAATAAAACAAAATAAAATAAAATAAAGTGAAATGAAATGAATGAATACTGTATGGTAGGATTACGCGTCGTTTCTTGTTCATACGATTTTAATACATGTGAGATATTTTGTTTCTTTACAAAGACTTTACAAATCTTTATATAGAGTTTATTCCCTCAAGGTACTGATGCAAGTGCCATGCGATTCCTCGCAGTCCGCTTACCCTGCGTACTCTGTGGCCACATCCCCCGTTAAACGAACCTTCTATTCTTTCACAATGCAGCATCGAATCGTTCGCCCTTGGTAAACTGTCTCAGGCATCCTCGAGAAACAATCGAACCAGTCGATACTTTCTAGTTCGGTGATTTCGAATTGCCGGCTATCGTCGACTTTTCAAACATTCGTTCGGGCACCTTGCCAAGATTCTTACCGAACCCTCGGCCTGACCTCGTAAATTTCTCGTAAGGATAAATAACGCTAGGCTATCTGTCATCGTGGGTGTCGTCATGAAGATGCGTCGATGGACATAGTCACGTTTGGTATCATTTTCGTCGTACCGATCTCGATAATCCAACTGCGGCTATCTCATAATGATATATCAAACGATACAAAATAATTATATTTTTCTTATTCTGCTTATTCTCCGAGTTTTCTCCGATCGATTTATGACGGGGCATTGTGGGATTGATAACCAGGCATGAGAGCGAACAAATTTTAACTATAGAAACTAATTACCGAACGGTCCGCGAATTCTTGGCAAAAAGGTACAGGTACAGGTATAGGAACAGAGGATTTCTAGCCCGTTACTGTTCGCAGACTCGTTCACAGACTCCGGTGGAGAAGTACCTCAACGGTATTCGTAAATGCTGCTGATTATTTGTAACTTTTGTCTCGGAAAATTTCACTAACGATATTAGGTCGGTAGTAAAAGAGGATCCACATAATAAGTATCAAAGGTTTCGATAGTCTCCTAATTATCTCTTAAGTTTGTTTCACTTCTCGCAAGTGTTTCGATACTTGCGAGCGACGGTGTACGCGTAAATGCCAAAATAGAATTGAAGTCATATTAAAGATACTACGGTACTACGTTCTCCTTACTATATACACGCTACGTGTTCTTCTTGCCTATTCTTCTTATTATTTATTAACTCTTGACATTAATATCGAGGAAAATTTTATTCACGACATATAACAGATGACGTATAAAAATAAGGTATAAAATTTAATTCGCAATTGGCGAAAAATATAAACATTTACTTATATCTCATATTGCACGTAAAGCACATGTTATACATATGTGATTATTGTTTATTGAATTATTTACTCAATAATCGGGGTCTTGTAATACAGTTTCACGCCATCGTATAGATATACAGATTAGGTTAGTAATTGCAGATTTTATAAAATTTAAGGTTTTTCTTTAAAAAAAAAAAAAAAAAAAAAATCGATTCACCGTTTTATCACTTGCGATTTCTTTATTATTCGTTTGATGCGCGTCCAAAAGAACTTGTTGTATCCACGCTTGTTTATGTCAAAATTAATAAGTATTTAACGATTCAGAAGAAATGATATAAATATAAGCTTGTATTGTATTATATGTACAAGTTATTTACCACCATTTTCATTGCCGTCGGTTTAAATAACGCCAGTTGTATGAAAGTAAATATTTTCAAGTTTAACAAGTAGCTTTATTACCGTTCTATTTAAAGAAAAGAAAGAATTTAAAGAAAATTCAGAAACTAATTATTGAGTCGAAACTAGTTATTGAATCGAATCGAATGGTTTTGAGCTCCTAATTATTTTCAGTTATAACAGAGAGTGGGATGTTACTTGGAAAAAATTTCCTTTTTCTGTAAAGCATATATTTATTCGTACTTGCGATTGAACAATTAAATACCAAAGCATCGACACATAAAATTACATCGTAACATAAAATTTGTATTTTTCCAATAGAATGGTGAATCCAGTAGATTGTAAATCACAAAAACATCTTTTTAATTGAATCGTCGTAAATTACCAGTGTCGACTAAAGCGAATTAACTTACTTCGCAGTGATCAACGCTTAAACAAATTTCTAAAATGACCGTCGAATAACAATCAGATTCTAAATCCCAAATCCAGTGAAGTTTCTTTATTTCTACTTGGACATGACTTATTGAAGAAATTTTGATGGTGTACAACGAATGTGCTTTCATAGTGATAATCAAACGTTATGGTGTAAAATACGCGATGCCAATTGCCCTTAAAAAATGGATATTTTTGTGCATCATGGCTTAATGCACGTGACAACTATCTTCCTATACACGACTTGAACGATCAACGAAAACTACAATATAACGAAGACATAAATTTCTTTTTGAATCAGAAAGCAACTGCCTGTTCGATTTGAAATGCTTCGTTCGGAAAAAGGGCATTGAAGGATAAAGATCAACCTTGAAATGAGAACAAGAGTTGTTTCGAATACGTCAGCGAATGAATTTTTCCTCCCTTCTTAAAAAGCTTATGCTTATTTTCAAAAGGAACAACTTGGAAACAGTAGTTCTTCCAAATACATTGTTAAATATGTCTAACTTGTCTAGCGTTTGATCGAAGGAATAATGCTTATAAATGGAGGAATAGGAAACTTTGCTAAATGCTATGAGCATAAGAAGAGCGCAGAAAAAGAAACTAGCGACGGACGGCAAAGGATCCGATTTGCTCGAAGGATCCTACGCCGCGCGGCCATTTCTTTCGAAGGGAGCGCGAGTGAGTTCTCGTTTTTTGCCCAAGGCTAGAGAAATACCTAAATCTGCTGAGATTAAATCGACTTGAAACGATTCCACGAGCTAAACGATCCGAAGGAACGAATCTCCGAAAGATTTTTAAACTTGCAGCTCTGTGCATCTTTGCGTCCTGAAGGGAGATCTAACTTCAAATAGACTGGCAAAGTTGCATTTTCCCTTCCACTGGTTAAGAAAGGTGGAAGATAGGGCAAAGCGATTGAAAGATGAATGGCGAGGGACGACGTTAGCGATCTGATGACCGCCGTCTGACGAAAAAGAAAGAAAAAGAGAGGAAGCTTTCGCGTTTCTTCGGTCATTCAAAATGCTGGACATATTTCGAGGTCTGAAGAGCCTTATTAAGATCTCTCACGTACATATTGACACAGCTGTGTTCCGATTGCATTATAGTTTAACCGTGATCCTGCTGATTTCGTTTTCGTTGATCGTGACCACGAGACAATACGTTGGTAATCCGATCGATTGTATTCATAGTAAGGATCTACCGGAAGACGTGTTGAATACGTATTGTTGGATTCATAGTACGTATACGATTACTGCGGCTTATAGGAAACGAGAGGGTTTTGAAGTACCGTTTCCTGGCGTAGATAACTCAAAGTCGCATCCGGAGACGGAAAGGAAGGAGTACAGGTACTATCAGTGGGTCTGCTTCATGCTGTTTTTGCAGGTAATCGATTACAATTTCTTTTCTTCTCAATCTTCTTCCTCCTCCCTAGAATCGTAGACAATCTTGTTTTCTCATTTTCTATCTATTCTCTCCTGTCTCATATTTTTTTGCCATTAATGTCTTTCGCTTTCGCTCTCGCTCTCGCTCCCGCTTTCGCTTTCGCTTTCGCTTTCACTTTCGTTTTCGATAATAACGTAGAAGAGCTACTGGCCGAAAATGTATGCAACGGAGAGGCGTCCAGTTTCGTTCTTCGACGCTCTTCGACGATAATATTACCAGTCCTGTACCTATCTCTATATTCCTACGTTATATCTAGCTCTAACCATTCTGCCACGTGGAATAACGTTCTGCTAGATGCTTGCTCGTACCCAGTCGGTAATTAGTCAAGTTCAAACGTACTAAAAGCATATTAAAAGCATTTCATTCTACGTTTCCTTCTTAATAAGAAGGAATAATCTCCTCGACCGGCTCCTATGCAACAATCAAACTTGGACATTACCGGAATTGTTTCGAACGAACAAATATTTATCTACGATAATTATTTCGATGTACGATTCAAATAACTTCATTTTAGTCAATTATCTTCTCCGTATAATGATTCTTAACAAATTACTCCCTCTCTATTTGGTAGAATAATTATTTCCTGCCTGTTTAGATTAAAAATTCTACTCAAGCAAATAGCCCGACTAATTGTAAGTGCAAGCATAAAGTTTGCACGGATACAGCCAGTCATAGTCGAATAAGTTATTCGATAGCCATAGTCGAATCCGAATAAGTTATTCGATTAAATTTCTATACAAGTAAATTCTTTTTATTATAACTTCTATATCATAACTTATCCTGAACGTTTATCCGGATAAATCCTCGATCGATTGGATATTGCTGCACAATTGGCGAATAATATATTTCTTTATTTATCAAATAAGATTTATTGTTCAAAGAGTTTTATTCGATTTCGATAAAAACGAATTGAATAATTTACTAATAACTAGCAATAATTAAAATAATTTGATTAAAATAGCAAGTAAAGATAGTAAGGTAGTTTTTGAACGTGAAATTGAAAACATCCGCAAGATTTTTGGAAACTAGTTTGGAATTAATTCGTTTGAGACGTAAAAGGCAGGAATCGTATTCACGGAGATTCGACAATGAGAAAAGCCGGATAACGAGCGAACTGGTTGCGGCTACGGTCGTGGAATTTACCCGCTACTTACAGAAGCTTATATTTAGTTCATTGCCAAGAAAGAAACCCTAAGCATATTAACTCGTTAAACCCGTAACCGTTGCTTCGTCACCGAGGGTCGCCGCTGTCGCGTGAGTCGCCTTGGCGCTCGGTCAAAGACGCTCCTCCACCCTCACCTTAAACGATCAGCCGATGTCTTCAACTAGAACATGTTCTTCGACGGAATTAAATTGTCTCTCCGTTGATTCGGTATCGATCGGTAGAACGGCTGACCGGCCACGCGTCGATTTCCTCCATGAATGATTCCTAATGCTACAGTTGTCGAATCTGCAATAATGAATATAAAATTAAAGATGTTCGTGTGAATATTTATCTGTATAAACATTTATTTATCTCGTATGTTATCGCAGCTAAACGAAGTAAGAACACGTAGACTTGTTACCCATGAAACGTGTTTTCAAGATTTATTATACAATTGTGTATTTTTCCAAACATCAGAGATCATTAAATCATTATCACAACATCATTAAATTTATATGCATGTAAGAAGGAGATTGAACGATTGCTCAAATTATTTAACAAGACGAAAATGTGAATATCGATCTTTCAAGATGTATGATAGAAGCTGTAGAAAAGCCAACGACCCGCAGAATTACGATAATTTTTGGATATGTTGCAAAACTCAACGTTTTCAACGATCTTTTCCTAACGTGTACGTGGTGGTACGTCGCTTAGTTTCCGAGATACGAGTTTCGCGAAAAACTTGCGGTACCGGCAAACTAAATTCCGCGTACGGCTGTGTGCATCTGTGGTAGAGCGTATGCGTTAGCGTTGGTTTGCCTGCCGCCGCTTATCTTCTGCTTACATACAAACGAGCGTCGGCCGAGCTGAAAGGTCCCGCGCACAACGTGCCTATGCGAGACAAAGTAAGAAATGTCTGTTATAAATCAATTAAAAGCGACTATCATCATTGCGTTGAGTTTAGGCCGGATTTGTAGAATGTTTTTAATCCGTCTCGCGACAGCGCTTATTATTTTTATAATCGATCCGTTGTTATCTCACGCAAGCGTTGGCGGCCGGATTGAGAAATCAAGCCGAAACCTAAACCCGATACATTAATGATATTCGCTTTTGATTCTAATCGGGTTAATAAAAGCTACAATTTTTGCAGACTTTTGCAGACCTTTGCAGCCTCGCATACGTACGTTGTGCACGAGGCCTTTCAGCTCGGCCGACCCTCGTTTATAAACAGAAGATAAGCGGCTGTCGGTAACCAACACTGACGCATACGCTATCACAGACGCACAACCGTACGCGGAATTCAGTTTGCCGGTACCGCAAGTTTTTCGCGAAACTCGTATCTCGGAAACTAAGCGAATCCATCATTTATATGGTATATATAAATTATTCGAAATATTAATTTCTGCAACATGTACAAAATCGACATGTACATCGAAATTGGCGGATATTCAGTTTTTCTGCGGTTTTACCGTCATTTCAGAAATCTTTAACTACAAGAAAACGGTACTTTTTCTATCGCATTTCTGTCAAAGAAGGATTTCGCACGAGGTATACGTACATATGTAATTTCGAAACATTGCAATGTCAGTGTTCCGAGATTTTGTATTCTTTTAATTGCTAAAGCTATGCAAACAGAGAGAAAAGGTTTCTTTTCGTTCAGACAAAAACATGATTATACTGGATAGGTCTTAATTCGTGACACGATTTTGTCGGAATTTCTACCAATGCGAACAATAGTATTTCCCTACGTTTACGGTTACTGCTTATTTTTTCGTAAAAATAATTTTGAAAATTCGTGGAACATGCACGCGGCAGGTCAACAGTTTGCGTACTCATTCTCTTTCCCCTTTTTTACGAAGCACCGTTCTTCTTGAGGTAGAGAACCCGCAAATTCGTAGTTTTGCTATTATAGCGTTTCGCTTCTCTGACTCGAGCTTTCTTTCTTATTTGGCCCGGCAAAGTCCTCTGGTGGAGTCTCGGCAGACTCTCGCCCACGTTGTCCAGGAGCCATGGCACAAAAGGGTAGACGCCAGCGAACCGATAAGAGGTGTGGTGTGGTTTCCACAATCCTGGTAATGGCCTCCGTGCGGACGATGTGCCAGGGCTGCGGACAAGGTGCTAAGGTCTGGGGCGCACGTGAGCTTACGATACGTTGACCGCTACTGAGAGCGCAGGAGATTCCCTGCCAGAACATCGAAAGTCTCCTTGCTACACATTGCCCGAAAAAATATAACCCATACGTCACTGTGATTTGTAACCTAAAAATAGCGACATAACATACGCATCGTAGACCCTGTCCTAACAGTTTGCTTTGAGTTCACCAATTGTTTGTTGTACGAAAGATTGTTTTAGGCAGACGTCGTGTGTTTCAAAATGAATTCGATTAAAGCTACGGCTTTGCTAATCTGTTTTCCAGATGTTATCCTACGCGAAACATTTAGTAAATTGTTGCGAGGCGAGTTCATGCGAAAAATCGCTAATACGAACCTATGAAAAATATTCAAACGGTAATAGGACAACAAATTTACGATTACTTTATTTGCGTTTGCTGTGATTAAAAAATGTTAATTTCTATCATAATTACATTTTCTAATGTTTCAAAGTGCGATATCTTCTGAAATAATTGCCCAAGACCCAAATCATAACCAGAGAGGATACGAAAAAATCTTCATTCTATTTACGCAGCACTGTACACTTTGATTAAAACATTGCTGAATTTCCTTCTAGAATCACGTGTTTCGCAAATTTTCCATCACATAACCAAGATAACCGTTGATTGTTGATCGTCCGGGCTTCATATCTTATTTCCTTATACATGTACAGAGACGTACGATAATTAAAAGAAACTCTCGATACATGGGGAAGCTGGACGGTCCGCCGCGGTTGACCAGCGTAACAACATTGTCTTTACTACAATGTACAACGTCAGATACCGCGAATAATGACAATGTATGCTCTTACGTACTGATTCAACGATCAAACTTTTCTTACTTTTGACACTTCTTTTTCTTTTCTTTTCTTTTTTTTAAATTAAACTTTTATCAACGTATTTGTGAGATCTTTCGATCTCGAAAACAACAGCAAACACGCTATAATTGGAATCGTATTTACAAATCGATATGTATTTAATTATAAATGTTAATAATACGATACAAGCTATAAATGTTAATCGCGAATAAATGGACGTTAATTGGACAAATGTAAAACACGCATTGATAAGAACGTTTGATTTCTGAATGTTAAACTGAACAACGAAAAGCGAATATTATCGATGTGTTGGGTTTAGGTTTCGGTTAGATTTTGCATCCGGCCGCCGCGACGCAACGTTTGCGTCCAATAACAACGAATTAATTCGAATACGGGTACGGATAACGGGCGAATAAATAATTGATATTATTTTACGAAATAGAATAATTGTTATAATTTAGTGCAGCAGGCAAGTTTAGTGAAACGGCTGAATTAAAGAAACTTTAGACTCATCTAAACCCGATACATCGATGATATTCATATTGGAATAAATTTCAATCGTGATAGGGATTTCTCGTAACGTGAAATTCTCGTACTTGCGTTGTGCGTTTAAACCCTCGTTTATAAAGAGAAGATAAGTAATACCAAGAAAATAAGACAACCAATACCGACGCATAGACTACCGCAGACGCGGAATTGATTGTAGTTTTTCGCGAATATTTCGCAAACTAAGCGAGTTCGAGCTTATATGTCTTATATGTCTAGGAAAATGTTGTTCGAGATACCGATTTCCACAACCTGGCCAAAAATCATCGAAATCGGAATCTAGCCAACCCTTCTATACGCTTTTAGCCAAACTTTTAATTTTTGTTTGATTAATTCCATTGATAAACGCACGAAAATCATTAATATCGTATTTCACGAAACAAGACGTAAGGAAAAAGGTACAGGAATGAAATTGGTTTTGGCAGATTCGTATTGCGGATTCGCTTCGATAATTTGATGAAATTGGATTTATAAATTGACGCATTCTTTTCGAATCGAAGATTCGACTGAAATTTATCCTTTTTGAATTTGACATGTTAGGATCAGCGATGAAAAACTCGTGCTATTAATTTTTCTATTGAAAATTCGCTTACATAGTAAGTAGGGAAAATTGATAGTTGACTGCGTAACTTGCATAAATGTCATATATGTATATATTAGAAGTCTTAGAATTTGCAGGGGACGATTGATGTTGACCCTGTCTTGATATTGGTTCATATTGGTTGATATTAGTTCAACTGTAACACAGTCAGCTTTGCTTTTTTCAAATGTGCACACGCCCACCATTTTCGATCGTATGGAAAAAATCCAATATATATGTGGCGTTCTTATCGATTTTTCGATTCAACCTTCTATCATTCACCGGACCTGTGTATCTGATTTGTAGATTAAACTTCGCACCGCGGATTGTCTAGCGGCGGCCGTATAGGTGATAAGATGATAAGAGATAAATACAGCAGGTTAAGTCTTAACGAGTTGTTATTTCTACAGAGGCGTTCGCTTCGGCGGCCCAGTCTAAATGACTGGATCGGCAAAATTTGGAGAATTCGAACAAGGAAATGGAAAAGAACGAGCGTGAATGAGATACCGATACTCGGTACGGGAAGACGTGGACTGCGCTGAGACAATGTAACTTTTAAAATACGGTTCGCTCGAAGCTCGAGTACAGACTTTGTTTTCAAAGATTGGCGGTGATAGCTAAAGCGAACGCTTCTGTATCTCGTGTTTCTGTGTATCGTCGTGTACGACGTGCAGCATCGTTGTCGTATTATCGCCGCATAGTCGAAGCAGGAAAGTAATTATACGTCGATGGATCCGATTAGGCTCTGTCTTTGTTCGTCGAGAGTTAACGAAATCAAATCGATTCGATCATTCGATTTATTTGTTTATTTTACTCGATATTTTATCGTATTGAAACGTGTATTTCATGAGAAGGATTAAAATGTTGTAAGGAAGGAAGCGGAATGCATTATTGTAATTTCGTTGATAAAGCAAAGAGACAGCAGTTGACGAAATCCAAAGTAATATAATGAAATCGTAGCGAAGTCAAGTAGGCAGGTGAAATCTTGCAAGAATCGTATCGTTAAAGGAAATAACTAGGACCGCAAGAATGATAAAAAGAACAAATTATTATGTAGAGCGAATTTCGACCGAACGACATGTAAATACTTACAAGCGAGGGGGATTAGGTGATTTCTTGTGAAAAGAGACGAAGAAGATACATATAGAGTCAAACTTTCAGGAGAATAATGTTTCAACATGTTTGATATTAAGAGCTGGCCTGATACCTTATTGAGATAAACGTTCAAACTTAATTGAAAGAACACGAAGGATAATCCTTTGATATTCGGTTGATAAATTTTCCAATTTTTGTTCATTTTCTCGATAACGAAATCTTAGAAATTGAAAGCAAGTTAGAATTATGAAAGCAAATGGCAAATGGCAAAGGCAACGACGACGATTGAAACATTGTAAAGAACAACGGTATGTGCAATTTCATTGACAAGACAAGAGGAAGATACTTAGAGGATCATACAAGTTATGTGTTTAGTATCGAGGCCAAGGGATGCCTCTCAAGTTCGGCCAGTCTTCTAACGGCTTGCTTCCGCGCACCACGTGTGTCTGTCACCGTGTCCGAATACTCGTTCCATCCTCTCGTTGCTCTGTTTTTTTCCATTTTTATCCATTTTTATCCACTCGTTTATCCTAGAAATATACAGTTATTTCGGAGAGAAAAGAAAATCAGATCACACCCACTTACCAGATCACGCGTGCCAAATTAACTGTGCAAGAACGTGCTTAGTAGCTGGTTATAGAAACGCGCGTCAAACATGACAGAACGTGGAGAAGATCTGTAAATCGAAGAGAAAAATGAAAATATTCGAAGAAATTGTCGACTTGGCAAGTCCTTCTAGCGGTAATCTCAAAGAAGTTTGCGGAAAGTATTGCAACTATACGAAACGAATGGTAGAAGAAAGTGGAAAATGAAATATTTTTCAGAAGGGAAGATGAAAATGAGGAAAATTGAAAGAATGGCAGCTTGAGAGGTAGAAAGGTAGAAAGTCGGCGAAATACGTATACTGTGAAGCATTGAGTGAAAAATTGAGTTGGTCAGAGTCTTCTGTGGTTGATCACGATGAAGAAACCGATACGGTCCGACAGTGACGAACATTATTTCTCGACGCGTTTGCTGTTTCCTGTGAAAGATTTGGAGGATTACGTAATGATGCACGCAACCTGCAGTAAAAATCGTACACATTCTGTGAATATTTAGATAAAATTGATAGAAATTTGGAACGTTTTTGAGAAAACTGTCTCGAATATTTCTCCGCGTTAGATCAAAAGACAAATCGAATAGTCGGGATCGGAAATTGTCAATCGTTTAACGTAAAAAAATATTCATTCTTTCTTTCGGACATTTATATGACGAATGATATTTCAACGCAAATTTCTTACAACAACGCGTGTTATCGTTTTTATTTAACGTTCTCCATCGGGAAAATGTATCTTTCAATCTGAATTTTATGAATTCTCGAATCGTCAGCTTCTATTCTTATATTTTAATGATCGGTGAAAGCTTGACGTACACACTGGCGTCAACTTCGATTACAAATAATTCAACTGCTAATTACAAGTCTAATATGCTTGCAGTTAATTTCAATTTCAGCAGTTTTCCACTAATGAGTAAGAATCGAGTTTAATCGCCTCCAAGTTATAACCTTCGACTAAAAATTTCAACGTCTATAACTATGTTAACTTTGATAATCCATAAACGATCGATTGCGAACTCGACAATTTTTCATTTCTTTCATTTCGATAATTCCTCGCCTAATAATTATCGGATTTCGAATTTGAAGAATTCGCCAACCGATAATCGTGCGAGTTTTAATTTCTCCCAAAAATTTCCCTACCAATAGTTATTTGACTTGAAGAAGAATTCCTTGACCGATAATTATTGGATTTGCAATGTCAAAAATTTACCAACTGATAACTGCTTGAATTTCAAGTTGAAAGACTTGCAAGCTCGTAATCATTTGGCTTTCGAGTTCACGAATTTTCCAAATGATAATTATTTCACTCGCGATTCGATTCAGCAACAAAAATCTTGCAATTGCAAATAAGAAGACGGCCGATTAAAAAGATTATTCGAAATAAAAGAGAAACCGATCTTCACCTCTGATAAGTGTATCTTCGAAACGACCGAAAGCTCGAATTACAAAGACGGATCTGGAAAACGGGGAAGAGAACGATCATCTTCTCGACGAGGAGGATTCTGTAGTCTCGAAATTGATTCGTCGTTCAGGACGTAGAAAAATGCCTCTGATGATGAAGATGGTGGATGTATTCGGCTCCTTGAGGTCTCTGTTTAAAGTTCAACGGATCTCCGAGGACACTATGATATTTCGACTGCATTATCGCGCAACGGTGGCGCTTTTGCTTGGCGGGTGTGTAACGCTGGCGTGCAAAAGTATTTCCGGTTCGCCGATCCACTGTGAGGCCTCAGGTTCCGTGGATAAAATTGTTTTGGAAACATTTTGCTGGCTACATACCACGTATAGTATGGTGCACGCGTTTAATAAGAGTTTGGGACAGGCAGTACCTTATCCTGGTGTTTCGAATAGCAAAGGAGACGGAATGCACGGACACGCGTCGCACCCCTTGGTCAAACAGCACAAATATTATCAATGGGTCATCTTCTTTCTATTGTTGCAAGTATGAAAACGTCATTCTATCGCTGTAGTAGATGATATTTGCGATTGGAATAGCGATTATTATGGAACGATAATTCCGTAGAATTTCCACTTTTCCCAACGTTCGATTATCCGAACGATATCGGACGATAAAATAAACTGGTTACTCTAAACGGGCTTGGATATATCATTCTCGATAATTCCTTATTAGACGTAAAAGTATTAGACGTAAAAAGAAATTATCGAAAGAATTAAAGAACAACGACGGGAACGCTGTCTGTCTTTCTTTTTCCTTCTCTTTTTCATTCTCTATTTCATTTATTCGACAAACCCAATTTCGATATACTGAATTATGCGGAATTCTTCCCAATTTTCTCTTCGGTACATGTATTTTCTTTCGCAATTCGTATCTGAATTTATTATCGTACTATTTGACCTGGTAAAAGTAAAGTTTTTAACATCCATATACATATATGTATACACACACACACACACACACTCTCTCTCTCTATATATATTTATAATACATTATTACAAGATATATATTGTACTTTTAGTCATAAAAGTACTTGTAATACGAATATTTTCTATTATCCCTAATAATATAAAATATGATTATCTACGATATAATGATGTCTCGACACGTGGCCGAAACACATGGACACGTTATTAGGAAAATATTACTACAACGACTACTATAAATATCTTGTTCAAATATAAAAGCAACTCCATATATTACGAACTAGAGAGTTTGCTGTGGTTTGAAAATAGTGTATCATCATTTTGTCCCGAATTCTCGTGTTTCAAAGCGATCTAACAACTTTTAAATATCACAAACAGCATCGTGTGTACGTATGTTTTACTCAAATTATTTATTCTTTATTAACTTGTTCGATGTAGCGAGTACGCTTAGTCCGCAGTTTGTCCATCCTACGAAAATAGCGTACGTTTATTTTAATCAACTCTGTAACGTGTAACGTGTAACGTGTAATGTGTAATACACCCATTGAACATCGTAATAGCGTTAAAATGTTGGACGATTCTTTTTTTCAGGCGATCCTGTTCTACACGCCTCGATGGCTATGGAAAGGATGGGAGGGTGGCAAGATTCATGCTTTAATGATGGATCTTGATATCGGTCTTTGTTCCGAGGTCGAAAAGAAGCAGAAGAAGAAAATGTTGCTCGACTATCTGTGGGAGAATCTTCGATTTCACAATTGGTGGGCTTACAGGTACTACCTCTGCGAACTTCTTGCCCTGCTGAATGTGGTCGGTGAGTTGCACGTTAGTTCTTCCTCTTCGTCGTTTCGATACGTGATAAATTATATTGGTCTTTATGCGCAATAGGGGACTTGATCCCTACCGATCTCAATTTTCTTTCTACGCATTCTGCAGTAACCGGCTTTTTCACATAGCTCAAACAAAACTTAGCTTATTGACGTGTATACGACGAGTGAGTATGCACGGCTGTGCACGCTTGTGAAATGAATGGGGCGGTGGGGGGAGGGGGCTATATGTATATACAGGTATACATATTAGGAATTAATAGAATCAGCGTTAGTGCGAAATAATTTTCACAAGGCAAGAAATAAAGAATATATATATAGGCGGTATAGAATTAAATATAACGTAATTACATATCATACATTCTACAATGAAAAACATAATCTAAAGTCTAAACAATGCGTAATTCTCTACATAGAGATTTCTCGAAACAATGAACAGAATTATAGAAGAAGTAAAACTCGATGCAAAGAAACAAGAGGAAAGAAAAATGAACACGAGAAGTCGTACAATTGGAGGATACATACGCGTATCGGACTTGCGTGTGTTATCGTTCCTCTCTTTCTTCGTCAACCTCTTCCTTTGCCAGCTATAACAGACTATTTAGATCGTCTCCTTAAATGGCTGAAACGATTAAGAATTTTTGTGATAAGAAACTTTAGTATGGTACGATTGAATCAAAATTTATATGTAATATAATAGGTAGGGGGAATACTTAGGAAATTAATCGTTTTAATCTATAATGTGTACAGTGACTGGCTACAAAAAGTATTTACACACCATTATAACACCTTATAACGTTCACATATCGATTACGCAAGGGTAATTCATCCAATTTAACCACCTCAAATAACTTTTAAATTATGCGTCCGATGAAAAATTGTTACGTACAAAAAGGTGCGTGGTTTTAGAAAGGGCAAAAGGCGATGTAACGGCATTTCTTCTATACATCTTGTATAGAGAGATTTCAAAACTTTCAACGTCAACATTGTCTTCTTTAAACAGAATCATATATTTTTTATGTCACAGTTGGAAAGAATATTAGTTTGCAAGTAAAGAAAGACCCTATTACGATCTTAAACCTAATGGCGGAGGAGATGTTGTGCACCGTTTATCGAAAAGTTACCTCGGTATCGGCGATAAAGATGAATCAGGCAGCGTCAGAGGATGATTCTAACAATCTTTGTCACTGCTCCTTTCCTTATCACTTCCTTGTCACTGTCTTTCCTTATCCATATACACACGTATGCATATGTATATGCATGCATATACATGGGATTTTTTTCAAATTCCACGCTGTTTTCTAGCATTAGTATTTCGAGTACGGTATATTTATTTCGTAAATTCGTTTCTTTTCGACACGTGAAAATTTTCCAAGAATATGTGCCCAAGCACCGTTTCATCTTCAGCGTACCATGCGTCTCTTTGACGAGCGAATAAACTTTAGTCTTCGCCTTCTTTGGTTATTTTTAAGTTGGCAAATCGTTTAACATCTGCTTCGTCCGTAAATAGTGCGGAGAAAGTAAGACTTTCACTAGAAAGTAGTCCTTTTGTAGCTATTTAAACGATTCCAATTTCCAATTTCGAGGGACAGCTGTTTTATTAACTTTTTTGCAAGTTGCAAAAGTTAAATATACACGAGTATAAAGGAAAAGTATTGAATGTAGAATGCAATTTTTTCATATGTAAAAAGAGAAATATTCGGCGTATCGGATATATATCTTTTTTTATGTGTCTATTAACACTTGCAATGAAAAAGGGCCGTAAACGGTCAACAAGCATAAATGTAGATAAATTTACGGTAACTCTGAATTAACAGTTTTATCAAACGTAATAAGTAATAATCAAATTGATAGAAGCGGAACAGCCAAAGTGATAAGTGTCGATAATTTTCAACGTACGCGCAACGGCAGAGCGCGAGACCTGTTTGATAAAAAGAAAAGAAAAAGAGAAAGAAAAAGGAAACGGAGAAACGGAAAAGTTGTGGACATTAAACGGATAATTTTAAGGGAATCGTAGTTCTTGAAAGAAGAAAAAACCACATAATTGAAGGATTTCGATTGGTTAAACGTTCTGTTTAGAAATAATTATATATCCATATAAAATTATATATCCATATCCATATAATGGAAAATGTGTTTCGCTGCCGATGAGACGAATTCTATTTCGATTATGTACGTATGTTAGCGACAAAACATCGTCCCAAGCAGATTGTGGTAGATAGCATTGGCTAAATAGGTATTTAGCCTTAGCGTGATTTATGATATGAGTGGGCCGTGGACTCGATAAGCACCCCGGCAGAATACTTGAACGAACGTTTGCAAAGTGGATATCCAACGACTCCGAGTCGCTGACCTACGATATGTCGATGATGTACGACTGTTTAAAAGATTCGTGAGATAGCTCACACCGATGGCAAGCGATCCGACGAGACGTCTCATTGCCAAAGAATACGGCCATTGTCCGAAGGAGATCTGGCTACGAAGCGGGCAACAAGCTAACGGTAAGCGTTACAAGCTCGTGCGTACGCGGCGCTTACCCCACAACCTCGAAAGAGCAAAGAAAGAGTATAAAAGCTCTTTACAAAAAGATCCAACACGTATAACGGTTATCGATGGTTGTCGAGAGAAATTGCGTTTTGGTTGCTGATAATGGTGTAAACTATCGTTTGCCATTCGATCATCCAAGACGCGTAAAGAGAAAAGCGATCTGTATCATAAAACTCGAAGAAACGTATGTTCGTTAAATTGAAACTTGATTTCTAACTGCAATTATCAACAGAAAAATCAACAAATATAATTTTCTATCGAGGGGCAAATATTTTGAAAATTCGCACTGTTGCCACTTGTCATCGACGTACCCAGTAACTTTTGTTCGAGTTTGACGTTAGTGGTTGGTAATTTGAAGGAAAAGTTTGGTTTCGTAGCGATAAGACATAAACTTGAAAGCCAAACACCTAATCCAAACATAGATAACTACTATGCGCGAAATACGATTTCTCTCATCGATACTGCTTATCGACTGGCGAAATTTCCCACATCGATCACGATTATCGGGAATGAAAAAGATTTTTCGGCCAAATATAATTATCGTTATTTGTTGCAAAGAACATTTTAATCGAAAAGATAATTGCTATTCTGTGAGTTTTTCCATTTTGGTTGTAACAGTTATGGGTTACCTGAAAAAGGTAAAAATATAAAGAAACGATACAAAAGGGAAAAATATAAGATGAGGAATACGCAACTAATGAATATGCAATTAATAGAAAAAGGGGAGACGTAAAGGACTATTGCGTACTAAATAATACAGATACTATTGACTACTTACGATATTTGCAATATGTTACAGTCGTGTTAGTAGTTGTTAATTGTATTATTAATCGTATAATAAAGGGTGTGACGATATTGACGCGGTCATTCTTATCTTCTTTCAGAAGCGTGCCCGACGATACGGATCTATGCAGCGGTAGCGTTCTTTATCCGTTCGGATCGTATAAATTATAGAGAAATTTACAAAAATTGTCGAAAATATTTATTATGGAATTAATTATAGAATTATGAAAATATATGGTTGTCGTGCTACAGGCGAGTTTCTTAATTATAGATTGGTATATACGAAACAAGATTATCACGGTATATAAAGAATTCCGAATGAAGGTAGCCAGTTTTTCTTTCCGAATGCAAAGTCGTCAAACAAACAAACAAGCATCGACGATATATTCGTTAATAATAGTGGTTAATAATAATGAAATATATTAGTTCATGATCGTGCAATACAGACGATAGTATGGTACAGTGGAACCTGGGACTTTGGGTCGGACGTGACAACGGACATAGGAGAAGGGACCTTACGCGCAACTATGCGTTCGTTCGTGCTTATTCGTCTTCGTTTAAGTTCATCTGCATTCGTTTGTGTTTCCTCCATACTGTTTAGTTCGTTTGCGCTTGTTCGCGAGATGTCGTCCTAGCGGCGTAAAGAAGAACCGGTGAATGAACGAACGATTCACGATGAAATTTGGCAACGATACAACAGACCACGTATGCCACGCTTAAACGACCGATATACGCGTGTAATTGTCTGTCGCTTTTCTTCAACGGCCACTTTGTTCCTGGCAGACCGCTGTCCACGTTTTCTGACAATCGAGGTACTGGTAATACGAATTGGCAATTGCGCGGACATTACATAGGTATAATCGCCGCCCGGTCTTACATTTCAAGATATTCGTAAAATTCTTCGATTGAATTTAGGTTACGATTGCGGTATTCCGAAGTAGGAGGTGGTTGTTTCATTTTTTGGAAATTTGACGAAGAAAATCACCGAGCTGTTCTATTTCGCGTGTAGTCGACTATAACTTTTATTAACTCGATATACGGTACCGAGAGAATGAATACGGTGACTGAGAAAAATATTTGCACGTTTATCGTGGAAAACTTTGACGGACAATGCTGTTGGTCGGGTGTCTAATTTTGCAACAGTCGATAGGCTGACCTGGTAGGTCTGGTAGGCCTGAGCTGATAAGCCACAGATATAGAAAAAAACGGATTTTTAAAAGAATCGCAAATTTTATGCCTTTACATGCCATTAGAGATCGTCGCGATCGTCATAATCGGTTGTTACCGTTGACGCGAAAAGATTCCGTCGACGCTTTCCAATTTAAGGAGCCAGACGCCTAGGAGAAAGTCTGAGACTGTTGTGACACGCGATAAAGTAGACGCGTTTCTGCCATTTCTCCGTTTCGTTTCTAGCAGAAAAAGTGAAACAGTTTGGTAAAAGAGGCGACGGTGGCGATGGTATACTCGATTACGACTCGATTACGGTTACGACGACGG